AGTAAATCTGGATTGTGGGTGTTAGCTGCACCTGCTCCTGCATGAGTAAAACTCTTATTGCAGCACCTTCTCTGCTCCAGCTGCAGAATCTACACTGCTAATTATTCTACGTAAAGGCCTACAAGAGGTGATAAATTAAATTTATTGTTTTCCATAGTGTTCTTTTCACACCTGCATCCATCCCCCCCACCCACCTTGCACAAGTGCTCCAAATGTGCTGAACACGCCTGAAGCTGCTTTTGTACAACTCAGTATCATAGCTGAACACAGTGAAGCTTGTCTTTTTTTTTTTGCTTCGTGCTTGTTTTCTCTTTTATTGAAGAGTTGGAACCAGTTTACTCAAATGAGACATGCACTGTATTCAAGTCCGCTTCTGCAGGCACAGATGGGAAGTCAAATGCAGATACAGCACATACTGCACCTTACCTAGCATATACAACGAACCAAGGGAAGTACAGATGGGAGAAGGTGGTTCATATCCACCTACTATCTAAGGCATTACCATGTTGTTTGATAACTAGATACATGTTTTTAAGAGTGCATCCAAAGGCTGAGGGCAAACTCTCCTCACAGCACCTGGGTGGTATGCTCATCATTTTCACTGCTGTGCTTTTCTGTGTACCAGCAACACCCACAGTGACATGTTGTGGTTCTGGCCAGCTCTCTCTCTTTTCCTCTCTCTCTCTCTCTCTGCCCACATGCAGCAAAGAGGCTCTTCACTCTCCCAGCTCTGATGCCAGAAATGGAATACTCCTGTATTATTTCATCCAGCAAAAAGAGCAAAGAAAAGAAAGAAATACAAGCACCAGGATGTCACTCGTTTACTCGCAGCTGCCCTCTTAAAAAATGTAGCCGAGCGAGAATTTATCGCATTGGACGGCCAGACAGCTGTCAGCCAAATGACATGTTTTACATCCGCCACAATTTGAGCATTTTCATCAACCTAAAATAGCTCATAAAGCCTGTGTTTTTATAGGCAGTTTCATTTCTGCCGTATTCTTTTTTCTTACGGTTTATGTGATATTGCATCAGAGTGATTGCCATGGGATTCCTATTAGGAGGAAGAGAGAGACAAAGGGAAGGGGGCGGGGGGGTGAAGGATACAGTACAGGGAAGAGGAATGGAGAGGATAGTGGAGGGAGAGAAAGAGGCCGAGAGAGAGGAGAAGATTTGTGAGGAGGAGGCAGGGCTGGGGGCCAGCGGAGTCAGAGATAAGAGGCAGCGAGAGTGATTGAAATAGGATTAGTGGAGACAGGCTCTGCATCCCGGCCACAGCATCACAGTGTTAAACCTGTGCTTCACAGGGACCGCCTCTGTCACATCAAAGCCTCAGCAAGCCTGCCTGGCAGAGAGGCGAAGGAGCTGCCAGCAGGGTCAACCACAGCCACTCTCTCACACACACACACACACACACACACACACACACACACACACACACACACACACACACACACACACACACACACACACACACACACACACACACACCACACACAAACACTCACAAACACTCACAAACACCCCATACATGAACATGCAGATCACATTCTCCATCTATCCTCAATATGGAGACAAAGCTGACTCCTTCCTCCTCACCTTTTCACCTCACTGCAGTGTCTTTGTGGTGTGTGTTTGGAGTGCGGAGAGGATGCATTGATGAGCCATCTTTAACATTTAATGAGGGGAGCAGTGATGAGTTGGCATTGGGAAGCTACTGTCTCCTGCTTCCCCAGAGTCCAAACTAAGTTTTAATGAGAACTTTCCCCTAATATGTGCCAACAGCACTGAGCTTTTTAACTGCTTCCCAAACTGATAGCACACAAAATATTCCACTTAAGAACTGAAGCTCCAATGACACCTGTGTGCAAATAAACAGAGAGGTAAGCATACAGGAGTAAACATACCAGTTAGCTCAGTGACTTGAAAAGGCTTCCTTTAAAAATCAATACTGTGAACTGAGCTTCAAAATGTCTTATCTAAATCTTGATTGCAATTTTCATTGTAACATTTGTCTCTTTTTAAATAGGAGTTTAATTTTCTAGTCATTATTTTCATCAATTATAGATTATATAAATTCAGATTAAAGCCTTGGGATACATTGTGCGATTTAAGGCTGATTTTGGCTCCATTTTTGAGTCACATGACTGATTGTGAAAGTGGACCAAATTTCAGCCCAATCACTGATCACTTCCCGATCTCCTGCTCTCAACCAGACTTACACATTTCTGGCATCTTTGTAATTATGAGCGTCGGTTGCCTGCACTCGCATACTGAGAGCTGAGCCACGAGCCGATTCCCTGACTTGAGTCCTGTTTTTTTTTCCTGCGCAAACTGTCAAGACAGCATCTAAAATCACCATGGCAACAGCATGCATTCCTGTTTGCTGTGTCTTCTCTTTCCTAGCAAGAAACATATGAATGAGAGAAACATAGGCAGGAAATAGCTGAGGACCTCCAGCTGTCAGGGAATATGTGTAAGCCCACTGTTTAGCTAGTTAGCTTGTGCTCATTAGTGATGTTGAGTGTTTGTGAGAGGGTTTTCAACGTTGTTTGTATTTTAGCCATGTATATGAGTACAACAAGATCTGACCTCAACTCCCATTTGTGGTATTTCTCAAAGGAAACTTCATCGATGCTTTACTCTTACAGTGTGAGATGACGTTCCAGCCTGACTGTCATATGATCGTTTCCGGCCTAAGTTACCGCTCTAGTTTATTCCTGAAACAAACGGGCCGACAGCAGTTGCTAACCCAGCTCAGCATGTTCTCATATCTAACCCCCACTCTTCTGCTCTGTGCTCTTCCTCATGTGTACTTATGTTGAGAGTGTCTCAGCGTGATCAAATATTGCACTTCAGTCACATTCTGTTGCAGCAGATTATGGATCCCTTTAGCTAAAAACGCCAATTTATCAGCAGAACAGAGACACTCCACCGATTGGTAAACGCTGTCTGTCTGCATGTTTATATCTGTGTGTCAGTGTGTGTGTACTCGTGTATTATCTGTATTCTTGTGTGTGTGTGTGTGTGTGTGTGTGTGTGTGTGTGTGTGTGTGTGTGTGTGTGTGTGTGTGTGTGTGTGTGTGTGTGTGTGTGTGAGCTGGTAGTTTTCCTCTCGAAGCTCATCAGTTCATATCCACCACCCACCCCACCGCAGCATGCAGTAAATAGAGTCTCCGCCACTCGTTGAGAAATGGCACAATTATCCCCCGCTGGTGAAATATGGGCCGGGATGCACCACTGCTTCTTCCCTACACAGTGTGTGTGTGTGTGTGTGTGTGTGTGTGTGTGTGTGTGTGTGTGTGTGTGTGTGTGTGTGTGTGTGTGTGTGTGTGTGTGTGTGTGTGTGTGTGTGTGTGTGTGTGTGTGTGTGTGTGTGTGTGTGTACCAAACACACAGAGCATAGCTGTCTTTCGTCTGCTCGCTCATTGTGATGTGCGCTCAACACTCAGGGAATTGTTCTCACTTTAGCAAGGTTGTGGCCGCACACACACAGACACACACACACACTCATGCATACAAACATATGCAGGGTAAACTTGCGGACTGGCACATGCACATTCTGTCCTCGCAGTGCTTTTCACCCAGCATGCAGCATGCTGCAGTTTGAGCTGAGACCAGCACATAGAATAACTGAATGTCAGTCAGTCAGTGAGGTCAGTCTATCGATATCAAAAACATTCACAACAACCTACTGTGCATTCAATACTCTGGGTTGTGGAGCTAAATAACCTTTCTTTATGGTGGAGTCTTTGAGTTGTGTTTTACAGAGCTGGTCATTACAATGCTTAAAGTTATATTAATAAACAAGCAAAAACAAAAATCCCTGTTAACACACACAGATCAATTTTGCTCTTTTTGTATACAACACAGCCTCAAGCCTTCATCAGGAAAAATATTATACATCCAGGCAGTACTGCTATCATATATTCATTCATGCAAGAAATAGCCTGAGGAAAGAACGCACCAATCACACATTTGTAGCTCCTCTTAAGGAAGGCTAAATGAAGGTCAATGAAGCTTCTGTAGTTACAAACATCCACGTTAAAGAACTCTTCCACTTATAATATATCACAGCAGGTATACAAAATGACCTATACAGATGATTCAACAAAACAAAATGAAATGATTATTTTAACACAGAGAGAAATACAAAAACCAAATTGTACTAATAAAGAGTCCAGACCTAAGTTTTAATAAGTTAATAATAATGTTGATTCATTTCTATTCATGAGCTGATATGTATTGGAAGAGAGCTTGTCTCATTGGATTGGATTTGTAATTGTGATGGGTTTTTGTCAAATATTTGCTGTTATACTTTTTATTTGACACCTTTTAAATATATTTAATTCATGTGTTTTGACTTATGTTTGGCTGCTCATTGTTTTAAGGAGACTGCTGCTGCTGCCTGTCTTTCTTTCTTTGACTATAGTCCTCTCTTGGAAAAGATTTCAAATCTCAATGAGTTTTCTCCTGGTTTTATAAACGTTAAATAAACGGGGAATTGCAAAAGGAGTCAGAGTTATAAAGTGTTCTTTTCTGAAACCCAAAAAGTATGTAGTAGAATAAATGGCTTTTGTTATTGAATCATCACTGTGGTGAGAGACCGGGCATTTAATCCATGCTGTTCAAGAAGAATGAATCACAAGTTAAAATAATGTTCTACTGTACATGAGTACACTAACTCTCAGGATGGATCACTGCTTTGCTTTTGGACCATTTAAAAAATGTCCATTGACTCCCTCAAATGTCAAAGGGCTTCACATTCATTTGAAGTCAGCCATAAACATAATGTTATTAACCTCAACCGATTTCTCTTTCCAATGTATTTTGACATTTAGGCTACTTTGCAAATTGCTTATTTTTAACTCAGTGGCAGTGAGAATGGAAAGTACGGCATCAACGCCAACCATGAGATGACTTATCTTAGTATATCGCCCCCAAGCCTTCAAAAGGTTATGTAGGTCGTTCTGAGTTAAAACATTTTGTTTTTGTCTTTGCAGGTATGGGAAAATAGTGTCAACCAAGGCCATACTGGATAAAAACACCAACCAGTGCAAAGGTGAGTCATTCTTTTTCTGTCTCATGTACCCAGTCTGCCTACATTTAGACATCAGCCTGGAAACCCTGCCTCGTAAATAAGTGATTTAGGGACTCTCTGCCCTAATACCGCTGGAAGGTTCTGGGTAAACAACCTGTTCTTGGCTGGTTCTACCCTGCTTCAGAGGAAGTCAGAGTAAGCAGGCACACAGCCACCATCTCAGCCCCTCCCTGTCTGCTCTTCACTTTGCTATTTTTTCCCCATATGGAAAAAAAAAGTGTGTTTCAGTGAGAGGTCCATTTGTGTCTAAATGATGCGCACATGCAGAGATGACATCAGTGTCTCATTTGAAATTCCTACACACATTTCCAGGCTTGAGCATACATGCATAGCAGCCCAATTAGCGGGCTAACAAGCTAGTAAGGATTAGATAAACTGGAATTGTTTTTTACTGTCACCTTCTTGGAGTCTGTTTTCACTTCACCTGCTTGACATGGCTGTAAATGCATTTCACATGCTTTTCTGTTCGTTCACATTGCAATCAGTTCATAATGATAGAGACAATCTTCAGAGAATGAAGAATGAACGAGGGAGAGAGAGAGAGAGAGAGAGAGAGAGAGAGAGAGAGAGAGAACAGTGCGAAGAGGGATGAGGAGAAAAAAAAAAAGATTAGCGTGTGCTACTTGCCCCGAGGTGTCTGGCAGGACTGTTTAAGAGCTATTGAAGTTCCATCAATACTTTTAATTGCTTTTTGTGGTTTCCCGGGCTCTGAAGTGTGGCCTTTCAAGGTGAAGCTGCCTTCTTAACCCTGCTCCACACCTCCACTCCACCTCAGTTTATCCTTCTAGGCATGCTCTGGGTCAAAATGTTCAGGAAAGAAAGCTGTGCCTTAGAAAAGGGGGGCTGATTAGCTTGACAGGGCCCTTTTTTTCCCTGAGTCCTGCAGGTTATTAAAGACAAGACTGGAGGCATGTTAGTAAGAGAGGATGTATCTGCAGGTCACAGGACACAGCAGAGGCTGGATTAAATAGGAGGCAAACAGAGTGGAGGGAGTTAAGGCAGATTCAAACCAGCAGAAGAAGAGAAAAAAAGAACCTCTCTGATTTTCTGTGAGGAAAATAAATAGTGTGCTCTTTTACAGGTTATTTCTCTGTGTGTCCAGCTGACCTGAGTTATGCACGGCACACACAAAAACTAGCTCAGCCAAGCACCGAGTTATGTGGGAGACAATGTTTCCCATAAGTCATCCTCCTGGAATGCTGCGCTGCGGTGATGCCAAGAAGCAAATATAAGCAGACGTAGTTTATAAGTGGAAAAGATGGTCCTGCTCTGCACCCAGGCAGAGAGAGAGAGGGGGGGGGGGAGTGGACACAGAGGAAGAAAACGTGTGAAGAGAAGTGCTGAGTAACCTTGAAGGGAAAATAATAATATAAATAATATGTCTTTACAGTTTGAAAGTCAAGTTTAGGAGAAGAGAACGTCCACAAAAACTGTGTTCCAGCTGCTAAAACGGCACATATCTTCCATGAATATCTCACCATCTCCTGAAAGGTGAGCAGGAATCTCAGCATAAAGCAGGAAAGTTTTCTCGCATTGAAATCCTGATGTGCTGCGGTGCGTCTGCGCTCCTTGTAACAAAGTGGAATCGGCACATCACCCTGATCCAGTCATGCATTGTTTCCAGTCATCTGACCCCCCTGACCCTGACACTTGTTTAAATGTCAGAGCGGCAGCTTATCACCACGTGCCACCATCACACGGCGAGCAAGCTGCCCCTCTCCTCCCGCTCCACCCCTGACAAAACAACGTGAGAAAAATGGGATAGAGACGAGGTCAGGAGCAGTCATCTCTGAGAGAGAGATAGTACGAGTTAAAACAAAAAGGGCAACATCTCTCACTCTGAGTGCCTTTTCTTTTAGTCTAGTTTGACTTTATATATCAGGTGTTGGAAAAAAGCGAATACATCATCATCATGAAGGAAATTGCTGTTGCAAAAATATATACATATTATTCAATTCAAAAAATTATTTTAGCCAATTTGGCTAACTTCACCACTACTTCATGGCTCCTCATGGTGGTGCTTATTAAATATATTTTGTAATGCAAACAGAACTTAATTGGTCAAAGAAGAAGTTGATTGAAGTCGATTAGAAGAAGAAGAAGACAGCGAGATAATGTCAGTGGTGAAACGAAGGATGAAGTGAGATAAGGGGTGAAACTATTCCCATCACGCAGTGAATAAACACATTAATCCTGCTCTTTAGCTTTTTGTATTCTCTTAATACGATTTGACAATGAATCAATATTTTTGTCCCGCAATATATCACTATCGAGAATTGATCGCTATCTCGGACCATTGTTGCGTGTCATATTGTGTCATGTCGTATCATTTCCCTGCAATTCCCATCCCTGTTTTAGGTCATGACATCTCTTCTTCCACTTTTGTTTTTTTAACTATGGTCTTATTCTGTGTTGTTGAAATGTATCCTGTAACAAGAGGAGCATAACTGATGAGCACAATATGATTATATTTCTAGACAAAAAAAATGAGAGGGTGAAGATGTTTGCATTTTAAAACACTTCTAAAAGTTTTTTTACATATTACACCCTATATTATGGCCACTTTAAGACTGTGCTCATTCTGCTAGTGCATGTAGCAACACAACCCTTATGTATGCTGTCATAAAGATTGCATTAATTTAGATGTAAGCTCCCCTTTTCCACAACGCAATATGATCATTAATCATCAATGATCATTTGCAGGGTGTTTCATTTGTCAATCATTTCCTTTAAGTACATATTCCTAGAGGCTCCTCTCTTCAGTTAACTGGGGGGCGGGGGGGGGGGGCTCTGCAGCAACTTTTCAAAGTTATAAAATCCTGTCTTATTGTATTATAATCTGCTGTGCAGTTTTTTGGCATATGATAAGCTTTCAATTCCAGAGCTAATGAATAGAAAGTAGAAACTGTAAGTTTGTGATGTGTCACATTGTAGTCAGATAATATTGAAATTGAAATGAAACTGAGACATTGCAGAAAGGAACCATCTAAAGAATATTTACAGTATATAGTTATACCCAGATTGATTTTTACAGAGCACAAACTTGAGCTTTTTTGGGGTTTCTATCTATTAGTTGTTATTGAAGCAACTCACTAGTAGAACCAGGATTTTAATTTTTATAGATTTTAAAAAGTTCAAAAATGTTGTTTTATGTCTTTATTTCAGCATGTAAAGGGTTAAGCATGGTGCAGGTTCTACAAGATCACCTGGACTTTCAGCCTCTCTATATACTTGTGTCATCATGAAGGTTTGCATGTAAGATGCCACGACAGCTTGTTTACTTGAGTGAACAAACCAGAGCAGTACTGAAGAGATGAAAAGGAGTGTTTTTCATCCACTTATATAAGATGTAGAATCCCACTTAAAGTTAATATGCAGGTGTTAAAGGTTGAAGAAGCCTTTCATCAGCATGCATGTTTTATTCCTTGTGTCAATAAATGTTTTTAAAAACAGGATGACGGTGAGTGAGAGAGATGATAGAAGATGGAAAGCTGATGCTGTTTGAGATGGAATGGTTGCGCGTAGGAGTGGGGGGCTGTCTGTTGTGGAAGAAAGGCAGAAAAACAGTGATGATGCTTCCTGTATTACAGGTCAGGTGTTATGGAGACGCGTATTTTACTGTGCATATACAAACATAAACCAGCACAGGTATGGAGCCCACGCAGAATCACAAAAGCGCATTGTTCTCCGAGATACCATCCATCTATATGTTGAAGAGTCTGCCGTCCATAGACAAGTCTGTGCAGGTGCTATAGAGCCTCCTGTTTGAAATAGAACATCACAACAACTACACACTAAGACCATGTAATACACCTCTCCCACGCACTCAAACACAAAGGGTACGCACACACAAAGACTAATCGAACCCCCGCACGCACTCGCCATCCATCTGCCCGAGGTGCGTGCAGCTCTTGCAGCAGCAGCAGTGGCCGTGCAACAGATCTATCAATCCTCTCTCTAACATCCCAGCATGTGTGCCTGCCTGCCTGTTTCTGGCTGCTCCCCTGCACCACACAGGCCTTTCAATGAGCCTCTCTATCTTCCCAGCACTGACTCACTCCCTCTCCCTACCTTACTCTATGACACACACACACACACACACACACACACACACACACACACACACACACACACACACAAGCCGGGGTCACAACAGAAGCACATCAACTGTGCATGCTGATAAATACACACACACACACACACACACACACACACACACACACACACACACACACACACACACACACACACATGTTTTGGATGTAGCCCGGCTCAGAGGAAACTGGGAACGGGAAGTTGTGAAAGGGCTTTAGGGCTGTCAAGCGCTGTGGGTAAGAGGAGGCATTCAGCTCTTCATCTCTCTTGCTCTCCACTCCTTCCCTCTTTGTGTTTTTTTTTCCTCCCTTGCGTACTCTATATCTATACATCTGTCTGTGCACTTTCACATTTACTGTAGAAATACAGCAGAGATTTGGGGGTTTGCATCACAGATGGAGCGGGGGTATTGAGGATGGCAGACGGGGAGAGAGAAAAGGAAAACCCTGAAACCGCTCATTTGCCATCCCCTGCCCACAAGGGCCTCTTAAAAGGAGGCGGCGGCGGCATTTGAAATAAAGCAGGGCTGACCGAATGGAGACATTTTATTTTCCCTGCCAGAGCCTGCAGGCAGAGGAAATGACCTCAGCCCGTTTAAAGGACCTCCGCTTCCTCCTCCGCCGCTGGGAGATAAGGCTGCGCCTGAGATTCACCGGACTGACTGGCGCTGTGCCGCGACGGACCACCGCACTGAATTGTGGGAGATTGATGAGATGAGGAGATAGTCTCCTGTGGCCTGTGTGTTCGGCAGTTTGTTGTTGTTCATTTCTTTGCCCTGGAAGTTGCCATCCATTTTTGCATGAGAACACTAAAAACTCACAAGGGCATGACATGAAGTCACATCTTGAAAGAATTACTGTCGCCTT